AAAAAGATCGTCAACTTCATCTCTCCCAACAGAAGGAAGAAAAATCACACCAAGGGTGCGCGATTTTTAGAAAAGTGGGGAATCATGTGAAAAGCCAACTTTTCGATATTCTTGGAGATACATTATGTCGTCAAGAGTATCGAAGAACTCCGTAATCTTAATATATGAAATGTGAAAATCCGATTTTTCGTTTTGAAAAATTTTATTAGATATATAACAAGTATATTTCTTTCATCATGATTTCCGTTGTTTCTCCGTTGGGTAAAGAATAGACCCCGGATAATGAACTGCGTAATTCATCTGTCGAGAAGGTCGTCCCTAGGACGAAGTCGGCCGAGGCGACCGCGGAAGAAGTCCCCTCTCCCCGGGACATTTGTTTGTTTTGCTAATTGGTCGCCACTCTATTACAAGGTGTCTACGGTGTCCGACTTTGTCCGGTGGACGGAGACAGATGGATGTTCCTGTATTGAGGGTAGACAAGAGGTCACCTACAAGGGCACCCTTACGGTGAGAACATTACCAAAAATGGTCAGTCATCTCCCCAGGTGATGACGACTTTAACATTAATTGGTCAAGCGATGTCTGCATTGTCGTCACCCATGACGGGGGAGACTGTCATAAATCGGGAGAAGTGACAGTTTGCGTCAACGAAGTCTACGAGATTTCCCACGCTAAAAAAGTATAAAAGGGGAATGATCGGAGATCTCGAGGCGATCATCGGAGGAAGAGATCATCAAGGAAAGAAGTCTTCAAGCAACTTCAAGGTTTCTGATCGCCGACCTAAAGAGGTAAATACTTAGATTGTTATTACTTCACTCTCTCTCGGTATACTCGGGACTTAGAAATTTGTCGGTTATCGGTATACTCGGGACTTAGAAAATTGTCGTTTACCGATATACTCGGAACTTTGAATTTATTTATCTGATCCTTTAGATAGGACTTAGAATTACTTTATGTTGAGGACCGTTGATGGTCCGCTAACGGATTATTCGGACGTCGGTCGTTCGATATTGTCGCGACTCGGAATTTATTGTGCTATCACTATCATATTGTTTAGAATAAATGTATTTGTATTTTTATTTTAGTTTCTATTAAATATGTTATTCCTAATTTTAATGACTCTTATTGGATATTACCGACATCTCATCATGACTTCGCTACGCCTCCCACTCATGATTTTTGCCTTCCTATTGCCATCCGACAACCGAGAGCGGGTCTTCCCGACCCGTGCAGATTAAGTGGTCATTAGGGTTCGACCCAGTGACCCCCTGCTGCTCACAGGAACAATACCTATAGTCAGTGGCGTAATTATAAATTTTATTCCCTTAAGCAAAATATGGTAAAGGGCTCTCCAATGCTTAAAACCTTCCCTCCACATTCTCACGGTATAATAATTTAAACCAAAGTTTTAAATTGTTAGAAATTATTGTTTTATATATTATATATAAATGTAATAACTATTACAGATATATTTTAAAATTATAGAAAATATTATAGAAATAGTATTGAGCTAAAACAGGAAAAACAATATTTCAAAATGGTGGTTCTGAATCTGAACAGTTCTCTGAGGTTTTGGTTTTGTGGAATAATCCTGAAGCACTCAAAACTGATAAACATTCATTTAGATTTCACACTAACATTATTACCTTTGTGACCATAAATTTGTCTGATTTGATGAATAGTTTTTTCAATGTTTTATAATTAATATATTGACGTACTGGTACAATACACCACTGGCAGCATTTCAAACATCTATGAACTGATAATGAATTAAGATTAAGAAAACACGAAGCGAAGATTAGCTATTTTTAAAAAGCATCTATAAATGTTACCATTGGACAACATATTCATTCTCGTCACTTTATTGGGTAACTACAATCAGACAATATTATTTATTTATTTTCAAAATTGTAGAGTGCAGCATTTCTGAGAAAAACAATAAAATAGTTCCACAAACAAAACAGCTGCAAAAAATAAACAGCTGTCCCTAATTTCTTTTATTATTATAGTGTAAAGTGTTGTTTTTCATCGTTGTAAAATGATAGATGTAATCGGAAAAATAAATTATAAAAACTGTCTAAAATACTATAAATATTATACATTTACTTTCAATTAACCGTTTCCAATCAGAACAAACACAAAAAATATTAATATTTTTTATATAATTAAAAACTTTTCCTATTTATATTGTACCGTAGAAAAGTGTAGGGCCTGGTCTGAGCCCCTTCATAACACGAGCCCTTAAGCGTCGCTTAACCGCACTTAACAGTAGTTACGCTAAATACTGCATATATTCGTATACTGTAGTTCATAATTGCATTTTAATATATTTTTGCATCAATTTTTTTCATTTGAATATATCTGATTAAGAATTAAGTTACCAGCGTTAGAAATTACTTCCGAATTCGAAAATAATAATGAAAATAACTAAATGAATACAACATGGAGTCCGGACTGGAATAGGCTCTTGATTTCCCATCACAATATTGTGATGAGGATTCCAGACTCTAATACAGTTCGAAATTTTTTATTTGCTAAGCTTTATACAAATTTTTTCAGTTTTACACAATTAAAAATATTACTTTGAAAGGTTATAATTTTTTTCTATAAAATTTTATCTTAATTATTCATTTATTTTAGGTCTTATTTAGATACACTATTCAAAAGTTTAAATATTTGTTTCCTATACGTAAACTTGCATATTTATGTTTTATTTTGGATGTATTCCATGTTATTTATATATAATTTATATTATATAACAACATTTTTTTAATGGAAATTTTCTGAATTTAAAATAACGTAGCTATTAAGTAAACCATAAATTCTGTAAACAAAGTTCTTAACCTTATACGATATTTACATTAGTTCATGTCTATACAATCTAGAAAATATATTATATAAACTTATCTACTGATTCCTGTTGATTTATTCTCATCTTGCATTAAAATTAAACAAAAAATCCAATAAGATTTGTATGTAAAAATGAAAAATATTCCTTGATAAAATGAATACAAATTACAAAAAAAAATGTTATTAATTATTTGATGCAGAATTTATAAGAAAATTTTACGTTACATACAGACAAACAAATATAAAATTAAATTAAATAGCTTAAATTATAGAAATGATAATGTAAATATTTGANCATAGAAGAAAGCTTATTCTTATACTTTTGTGTATTTGATGATACACATTTCAATTAACTTTCTAGGAGTTATATAAATATATTTCTTCATCTCATAATTAAAAGAATATATTAATTTCACCTTACCTACTGCTAAGAATACTTTTTTATTCAAACTGTATGAACATATACAGCATAACCTTGTTATTTTGATATCAGATAATTGAAAGTCAAGTCTAGTTCCTGGTCAAAAATGGGATTTTGCATATATTTTAGTTCAGATAATTCAGAATATGTTCACAATGAAATTCATTCATTGTCTGGTCTAGTGACCCACGAAAATAATGTTTAATTTGAAATATTCTGTCATATTATGTGTTTATAAAGAAAGTTTTCATCAGGAAACTTTTCTTGATGATAACTTTCATTTTAATTTATTTCAAGCAAACAATATCTGGTAATCATTTTTTTTTTAAATTCACATGAATGTATTGTTCTCAACCATTCAAAAACAGTAATATAAGGTGAGTCTATGAACCATTTTTACACTATGCTTTTTTGTAAACATCATTATTAGTGTTGTGCGACTGCAGAATTTGCATAATTACCTTTTATTGCACGTATATGCTTTTTTATCTTTGTTCGTAATTTCCTTTTTGTTTCTCCTATATAAGGTTTTGCTGGAGAAACATTTTTATCACTTGTTCTATTTCTTGATTTTGTAATATGCTCGTTCTGTTTTTAATTTTATCTATGTACATTTTAAAAATATTAAATTTCATTGCTTGTAAAACACTAGATTTATAATTAAGTACCTTTGGTATTTGCATATAATATAAAAAATTTGTAAAACCTAAGTTATTATCTGTTCTAATAATATTTAAATGTAAAAAATGTATGCAATTATTAATTTTTTTCAACCTCAAATTGTATGTTCGTTTCTATTAAATTAGCCTGAGGCCAGATATGCGAACCTTAGTGGCAGGAAGCCTTGATTAACTAACTATACATGAACTTTTCATGCAAACTAGAAGTCACGTTATTTCATTTCAAAACTTTTTTTCTAATAGCAGTTAATAGATGACCAGTACAACTGTATTGTTAAAGAAAAAGTATGATGTACAGGGGCAAGCCATTACTAATAATTTGAAATGTAGAGCATATATTTTAAATTAAATAAATTAAAAATATGATTAAAAATTGCAGCCTGGCATTGTGACAATGTCACAATAAATAATTCCTTGTTATTTTCTAATTATTTGCTGATATATTTGATATATGATTCTTTTATCTTGAAATTTTTATCACTTCAATTTGTACAACATTTTAGATGATCTTATTTGGAGTGACGAAAGGATTTTTTGTAATAGAATAAAAGAGCATAATAGAAACATTAGTTTTATAAATGTATCATATTAGGTAATGGAAAGAGCATTTGCCAGGAATAGCATACTTCAGTGGAATGATATTAAACTCATTGAAAATATCATTAACAAGATTAGAAAAATTGCAGTGCAATGCAGATCTACGAACATAGCCAGAAAAAAAATGTTAACAACAATAAAGACACATATTATGATATTTGTTATTGTTGGTATAATATATAATAATTTTAATAAACAGATAAATAAATGTTTAAAATTTTTCTAACAGGAAATAAAGAACATTTTCGAAAACATATCTAAAGATCGCAAAAATTACAGTGCAGATTCGTGTGTGGTTGTAATTATGTCGCATGGTAGTGAGGGTATAATATATGGAACGTGTGGCGGCGAGGTCATATTAGAAGAGATTTATGAACATTTTAATAATGAAAATTGCTATGCGTTGTTATTTTCCTAACAACGCATGGCAATTTTCATTATTAAAATGTTCAAAAATNTTTTTTATTCAAGCATGTAGAGATGGTAAGTATAAATTGTAATTGTTTAAAAAATATATATATTTTATATTTTGTTTTTAACAGTATAGATTTTGTACATTTTAAATGTATATATAAATTAAATTTTATTAAAATTAATATTAATATTAACTGCTGTATTAAATCTGTAAAATTTTAAGTTTGAATAACATTTTTTAAGTTTCTCATAGAACAAAGCTTATTTTTATACTTTTGTGTACTTGATGATATACATTTCAATTAACTTTCTAAGAGTTATATAAATATATTTCTTCATCTCATAATTAAAAGAATATATTTATTTCACCTTACCTAAGAATACTTTTTTATTCAAACTGTATGAACATATACAGCAGAAACTTGTAATTTTGATATCAGATAATTGAAAGTCAAGTCTAGTCCCTGGTCAAAAATAGGATTTTGCATATATTTCAGTTCAGATAATTCAGAATATGTTCACAATGAAATTCAAAGTCATTTCTGGTCTAGTGACGCACGAAAATATTGTTTAATTTGAAATATTCTATTTTATAATATTCTATTTTGAAATATTCTAATTTGAAATATTCTAACTTTTCTTATAAACACGTAATATACGTGTTTATAAGAAAAGTTTTCATCTGCAAGTGGCAGTTTCATTTTCAGTTTTATGAATTACATTGTTGATATATTGGACATCTGTTGAAGGTCATACAGACATTTAGTGTTACCACCCGTCCAGTTTTCAATTGGACAGTTCAAGAATCAACTTACTGTTTGGGTGAACTATCAGTTTTATCTGGAAAAATCACACGTAACCTTTCGACCTTTTTTTTATTCGGTTTGTATTTGTACACATCTCCAATATCCAATAAAGCTAAGTCATCTGTAGTTGTTTTTTTCTTAATTTAGTTACTTACGTTACTCCTACCCAAGTCTCCCTAGTCCCTAATTGTGACTGATTTAGAATTGCCATATACTGCACATTATTCTTCGCATTGCAAAATGACATTGTGCATATATCAGGAACTTATGTTCGAACAAACCTCACCTGCCATCCGGGTCGGCGATTTTAAAAAGGTGGCAACACTACAGACATTGTAAACTTTGCCAATGAAGAAAGAATTTTTTTATTTTTATAAAAAAAAATCTGTTTGGCATTTAAATAATTTGGACATTTTTTTAAAAATTTATTGTTTAAAAAATTGCAAAGTCCATTATATACATGTGTGTATTTACAACAAAATGCATACATGGCTTTAGCTATTAATACAGCTTGTTTTCATCAGACCACATGATTTTCATAATCTTGAACTGAAGACTGTGAATTCTTCATAGAACAAGCCATTGGTCTTCTAGACAAAATTCATGGGTAATTCTTATAAAAGAAACTTAAGTGCTTCATTATGTTATTTTCAGGTTGGTTGGTTGGTTGGTTGGTTTTAGTTTTTGGCACAAGAGCCATGTAGGCTAAGCTGTGCCAAGGCAAATGGTAAAAATTTTAATCATCACATAACAAACGTAAAACATAATTAAATAAATAAATAAACAACAACAAATATATACAACAATATAAATAAGCAAAAAGAAAGTAAATAAAACTGTAAAATAAGTAAATAAATAAATAAGTAATCAAATCTTTCTATACATAGTGGACTTTCTGAAAGTCAATAATGTTGTCCAGATTTGGCCTCTGGCCCAAAATCTCTAAAGCTTGCATTTCCAAAAATGCTGTCTACGACTCTGATCAAAAGCAACGCAGTTGCAAAGTATGTGTTTTACACTTACAAAAAAATTGCAATATTGACATACAGGTTGATCATCACCCTTCAAAAGGTATTGATGAATCAGTCGAGTGTGTCCAATTCTCAGACGAGAAAGGACAACCTCAGATCTCCTATCATACTGCCTATTACGTGTCCAATTTTCTATTGAAGGTTTGATCTCATATAGTTTATTGTGGATTTGTGCATTCCACATAATTTGCCATCTCTCTGTTAGTTGTTTTTTGACTACTAGCTTCAAATCACCTCCTTCAATATGCATTTCATGCTGTGAAGGACTTGATGACTGCATCTTCATTTCTTCTTATACCCACGTGGCCTGGGACCCGTAAATAATTTATAAAGGAGTTGCATGTAATAAGATGACAAATTAGTTTCTGAATTTTAATCACTATGGAGTGAGAACTAGGTTCATACAAGATCAAAGCCTGAAGTGCACTGACCGAGTCAGTGTAAATGATGCAAAAACGATGACCTTTCCTATTTATGTATTTTAGGGCTAAATAAATAGCCTGCAACTCCACAGAAAAGATGGAAAAATTCGGTGTTATTTGTTCTGCCACAATTTCATTTTTGCAAACAAAGGCTAAGCCAACGTAATTATTTCATTTCGATATACAGTAGAACCTCGAAAACTCGGCCTAATGTGGACCGAAGGGTGGCCGAGTTTGCGAAAATGCCGGGTAATCGGGAATGGGGTTAAAAAAGGATAAGTATGCGTGTTTCCTCAGAAAATAGTGTACTGTACTTGTATGTATTGTTAACTTGAGAATACAACAGAGAATAAACTGCCCAAATACCCTTAAACAAAGGAAAAGTACGTCCTTTATGAAGGCATAGAGCCTTTACTACATGAAAATGAAAATTAATGAATACACTGTGTACAGTAATTTACCTGATAAGACAGACCTCAGAAAAATACTTTATGAGAGCTTTTATACTTTTATAAAGCTGTCTATAATTAAAATTAATTAACTAAGGATTTTTTTTGCCCAGCCAGGGTGTGGACGAGTTATCCGGAGTGCCGGGTTATCGAGGGCCGAGTTTTCGAGGTTCTACTGTATCAGTATAAATAGGAATTAAATTCCTGTGACAATGTTGAATTTCTGCGAAGCGCTGTCTATAGACGCAATCTGGCGTGGTTTCTTTCGGAAACAGCTTTAAGCTTAAATCAACATCTATTGCTGGGGTTGACCAAGGTGAAATACTATTAACCTCAACTTGTGATATGTTGCTTGTGTGCAGGTCAATAGATGTAGTACAACATGTGAGTGTACTACCTGTAAAGTACTAAAGTGCAATACTCAAATATAATTGAGAAAAACTAACTTTTAAAGTTTTCTTTAGCACTTTATATATAAGTTACGCGTACTTCCTCTTGAGCGTACTGTAGCATAAGTGGTAATGCTCCTGACACGTATGCTTGCGTGCTCGGGTTCGATTCTCTTGTTGTGTATATGCTTTTTTCCATTGCTTTTTTATTCATAAAACTTATAATGTATAAATACTTTTTTTATAGGATACAAATCTTATAGACATCTGATATATGGATCATGGTTTATGCAATATTTAACCCATGTCTTATTAAGACAAGCACACGACACTGATTTATAATGCATATTATATGAAGTAAGTTTTTTGTTTTATTTAAATTTAATTAGTAATTAAATTTCAAAAATATGCAGTGTGTGTTGGGATTTGAAAGTTGTTAGAATGCTGCACTATTAGACTTAAACATTTAATTAATGCTCAAACTATAATTGAAAATTATTGGTAGCTGTGATTTAATTTTTTCAGTTATTAAGTAGTGAAACCCATATTTTTTCGAGCTCTAGAGTGGCCTATTACACCAATCCAATTTCTCAATAGTATTTCCCAGATGAATAAATCATTGTGATTTTCACATTGGATGAAGATAGAAGATTCATTTTACAGGAGTGTTTCCTGTGCAAACTGCCTTTCATTTGTAGTTTTTCCTGCAATATATGATTCTTTTACTTTCATTTTGTAATTACTTATATTACCATTACACTCACACATATACAGTTTTGTTCAATTCCAGAAACTCCTTGGTGCACTAATTTTTATGGAAATGAGTGTATAATATACACTTATTGCTATAAAAATTGATAATAAATTCACTGATGAAAGAATAAATTAGTTTTAGTATTTTTTGTCAATTTTATTTTGGTTAAATGCTGATTATATCAAATGATTGATCTTTGATTTATTTTATTTAGAATAAGAAATATAAGTTTATCATAAAGTTATTTTTAATTGTCTACATGGACATTACTCATTACTAGGACTTTACACTGGGGTTTTGATTTGACACAAGAATGAGATAATTAAGAAAATTTGTTTCTTCTGAATTATCTATCTCCTGTAGTAATTTTCCCTATTCACATATTAGATGTGTTTCGGGTTTGCATGCCCCTCATCAGCAGTACTACTACAAAACACTAAAAAATAATAATTAGATAAGATAGTGATTATAATAAATAAGCTAAAAAATGCCAAAATAATAAATATTGTATATAATAAGTTCCTGACAATAAAATACTATTTTTTAAAAACTTACAGTAAATACGTATTCTAACATTGAGTACAACAACAGGATAATATTTCTCGTTTTAAATTTACATAACATTTCACTGTATAATTAAAAATAAATAAGTAAAATAAATAAAGATAGAAATTATTAAAAGCGTACAATATCTTGTAATAATTTTAAAAAAAATTCACATCAATGTTTTGTATTAAACCATTTGATAACAGTAAGGTCTATGAACCATTTTTACACTATGCGTTTTTGTAAACGTCATTATTACAGTGTTCTGCAACTGCAGAATTTGCATAATTACCTTTTATTGCGTGTATGTCGTCTTTTATTCTTGTTCTTAATTTCCTTTTTGTTTCTCCTATATAAGTTTTGGCTGGATTACAACTACAATTAAATGAATAAACTATTTGTTTATCTTCTATTAAATCAAGCTTTTTGTCTGACCTATGATATAAATGTTTTTAAATAAATTATTTTTTTCTAGTATTAGATTCACTGTTCTTTTAAATATATTTTTGACTCTTTCAAATATTTTAGATATATAAATTAAATTTACACATTTTTCATTTGTTTTCAAAATTCTATTTTTACTAACATTACTATTAATCCAATTTAACCATTTTTGTAATATTTTTTTAGAATAGCTATAAAGTTAGTACAAGTGATAAAAATGTTTTAATTTTATCTAAATACATTTTTTAAAATATTAAATTTCATCGCTTGTGGAAGACCAGATTTATAACTAAATACCTTTAGTATTTGCATAGATTATAAAAAATTTGTAAAATCTAAGTTATTGTCCATTCTAATAATAATTAAATCTAAAAAATTTATGCAATTATTAATTTTTTCCAACTTTAAATTGTATGATTGTTTCTATTAAATTAGCCTGTCTTAAAATTAAATTTTCACTAGCTTTTCTACTATCGAATAGAATAATATAATCGTTTACATAAAATATATATATATATATACAGTAGAGCGTCATTTATCCGAAACATGGGTTATCTGAAGGAATTCCAGTCAACAAATTTAAATTTTGGCCAGTGCTGTGGCGCTGTAATCTTTTGCTATGTCTTCCTACTCAAATATTTTACGTTTTTGTGACTAAATTAACTTCTGAAGTATAATTTTTTATTGTTTTTATATTTTTCAATATATTTATTTTGTTTGTACAAAATAAAAAAATAATTTTTAACGATACAATAGTCTTTGTTAGGCTTAACATCAACGAAAATTCAACACGAAGTGACACGCAATGGAGAAAAATTTTAACATGGGATAAATTAATATATTTTTTCGTACATAATTGGTTATCCAAAAAATAAGTTATCTGAACAACCCCAGTCCCCAATTGATTTGGATAAACGATGCTCTACTGTATATATATATGCATAATCACTATTATTTTTCTTTTCATATTTATGGGTAAATTTCAGTAAATTGTATAAAATTTATAGTTACATAATAATAATTTATTTATTAAGAAATAAGAATTTTATAAGATTTCTTTTTCCCCTTATAGGTTACCAGCAGAAGTTAATAAAATTGATTGTATAAATGGCAGAAAACAGTCTATACAAATCGACTATATTTGAAATAATAAATATATTTGAAAAATAAATCCTTTGTTTATTTCATTATATGTAAAGAATAAAAATTTCTGATAAAGATTATAGTTTTCCACTTTGAGTATTTCAATACACATATTCCAGGGAAAAAATACATTTTATGAAAATAAATTATTCTACACTACTCGAAATATGACAAACAACACCCATATTATCTCTGAATCTGTCGATCATTAATCACTAAAATTTAATTGAATCATTGTCCTTTAAGACTCGGAACACCCTACAACATTTCAGAAGTATTCTAAAAACACAAGACTTTATTAAGCTAGAAAAAGGATGCACAAAAACATGTCCCACATACGCACAGGTAAAACTCCCAGACATGTTTGCGTTTGTCCACGTTTAAAAGTTTTGTAAGTTCAATAATTGAAATATTTTGTCACTTTATCGCTGTACTTTTCGTCTGTTTAATGTACAAAATTACATATTTCCCGTTTCATTAATATATTTGAAAAATAAATCCTTTGTTTATTTTATTATATGTAAAGAATAAAAATTTTTGATACTCAAAGTGGAAAACTATAATCTTTATTATTTCAATACACATAAGTAATTTTACATTCATTTCAAATACACCTGTTAATGTCAGGATGATTAAATATTAAAATGGCTAAAGGATAAAATATTAATTGTTGTTTTAAATTCCAGATTTTAAATAATTTATTAATCATCATTTAAAAATTTAATATTTTACATAAAAGTTTTGGTTCAAATACAATGTTCAATTATAATTGATGATATTTGAAGAAGAGGGAAAAAGTTGCATTAAAATCTCAGCTTTCTGCTGAAAGATAAAAGTTAAATTTTTTTTTACTGGGAATCTCTCGTTAGTATTGCCAGCGATAATTTCACACAAATACGACTGAATCGTGTAACATAGCACAAAACTCAAAATAAATTTTCTAGATATTTTATAATTTATATTTTTGATCCACAATTCGTGCAGTAAGATGCATTTTCCGGAAACGATAGAATACTGTTATATAATTTTAAAGCAGAAATCTAAGTAAAGGGGTGAAGGCAAGTTTCGCACAATCGTGGTGTTTCTTTAAAATGTCGAAAAATGTTTGCTAAAAAGCTTCGTTCACATGAGAACTGGCAGACACACTTTGGACAGCCTGAATTAATATGCAACTGAACGTGATTAACCATTTTATCTTCATGAGCAAAAAAAGTGCCGCATAAATAACACGTAAATTTTTTAAATACGGTATGTAGTTTTTTGTGTTTATGACAACCTAAGATATATTTAAATGTTCGGTGACATGTCCAAAGTCAGAGCTAGCTCTTAAACGCATACTTTGATTCTCGAACAGATTCAGGGCACCCGTGAAAGGTCAAGACCACCCTAATCCTTTCTTTACCTTTTTATTTCTATGACGGCAAATACAGAAACTGTGTGCGTGTGTTCTAAGGGTGTGTCTCGTGCAAACAATATACCCAGCATTTCTGGCAATCAAAGTGATAAAGTCGTGGAGGGAGCGAGAGCAGCAGGTGGTGAAGTGGTGAGCACCAAGCCTATGGAGAGGCAGACTATCAATTTTATCAGCCAATAATCTGCCTCCTTGTCTCTAATTACTTTACACTGGGAGAGGACAATATTTCGCGAAATATTTATGGTCCGGAGGTGGTAATGAAACATTTATTGGTTGATACATTCAAAAGACACATACAAGAAAGCAAATCAAAGCTTAGATAGCTACAAACTTGATTACAGTTTCTACAAAACTCCCCCTTCCCATGTTATATCTATAGAACACCCTTTTGTTTATTGGATGAAACAAACGTTTGTTCACATGCCTGTTGAGCTGTAATTGGTATATTATAGATAATTGACTATCCTTCAACGAATAAGCATTGACTTGGGTTTCTGGAATGGGAATTTTCATGCAAAAAGACATGCCTTCTAAGAGATACTTTGTCAGCTACAAACATATACTAACAATCATAAATAATTATGTAAAGTTTCTTTTTCCCGTCTTTCGATGTTCGTCGTCTGCACGTGGTCCTTCCTTCTTGACCTTTTTTTGTTCCACACTTTCTCTATTGTTTCAACCGCTTCCTGTTTTGGAGGATTAACTACACCTTTACAATTATACTCATTTATTTTTACCTAAGTTTAGTAAAATCATATGTATATTCATACTGTTTTACGTTTATAAACGTTTTTTCAGAATCATCCAGCCATAAGTCTTTCTAAAAACAAACTACTTCCGGATTTTTATGGTACTTCCATAATACATAAAAAAATTAATATATGTATTATCATTCATATAATAAGATAATAATCGTTTATTATAGTGCTTAGTAATTATAATAGTATAAATAACATAAACGAAATCAAGTATACACCATCGATATACACATATACACAAAAGAGTGTTGACCTAGATTTACAAAATTCAACCATCCCCCAAACCAGTCGCTTTGTAAACTATAGACCATATTCTATCTCTACGTCGATTTACAAGGATGCAGTTTTATATATATACATATATATATACATACATACAAACTCAGTTATAATGAACATGGATATAATGAGATCACAGTTATAACAAAAAAAAAACACCATAACAATTTTAATTTATGCATATTTCCATACATTTTCTCACAGTTATAATGAAGTTAATTCACAAATATACCAAGCAAATTTTTGATAGCTATGCAAACACAAACATTCTTAATTGTTCAAATAGTTCAAAAGTAAGAAATGAGATACTGAATTCTTAGGGTGCAACTATGCAGATGTGAGAGAGCGAATTTTCCGAGAGAGCGAGAATATGTAGCGAGAAGAGGTGAGACGCAATAAATGTCAAAACCTGTCGGATATGTGCGAGAACCAGAAATTTGCTCTCGCTAGCGTTATTTCTCACTTCTCGTTTGTGCATGGTTTCCTTTGCAAAAACNTTTGCTGGAATCAGAGACGAGCCGCCATTTTACTCACCATAGGTAACATTAACTGCACAATTACATCATGCGATCGCCAGAAAAAGTATGATAACTTTATTATTTTTCGTCTCCGGTCCAAAAGTAGGATATCGTTGAAGTTGTCTCGGTCCCCTCAGTTCAGATAGATACTCAGTCCCGAAATTCCATAGGTGGTTATCTGTATAATAATTTTCCTAATTGTATTAATATTTTAAATCGTTTGATTTTTGTATGTTTATTAATTGGTTGATGATCGATTCTATCAACTAATTAGTCGATTGTTTGATTATATTAACTTGATTCTTTAAATATTGAAAATTAAATAAAGAACATTATGTTAATTTAAGCATACAGAAACGTTGCTGTTGTTCCAGCAAAGATCTTATTTTCACTTTACCGAGTGCCTAGTAGGTAATTTGCAGAATACCTAGATAATCTGAACATTACCTAGGTAATTTGAGAAATAGAACAATTTTAGCAACTTTAACGGATTACGCTAGTTAATCTGCAGATTAACAAGTTTCCGAGCTTTAGCAGTAACATTTATACAAAAAAGTTTTTGATTTTTACAAATCTTGAAGTTTATAATTTTTGTAAATATATACAGTTGACCCCCTATAAGATCATAAATATGTTCCATTCTTTAGGAATCCAATTTCTTACAAGTCCTTCCAATCACAGCCCGACACGTGTGAAGTTTACGGACTACGGCTGATTGAAAGGTTTTCTTCTATAAAATTAATCGATTCCTAGACTAATCCAACTCAACATTTCCAAAATATGTATATATTTTTTGGGAATAATCCGTATAAACTACGCTATAAACAAAAAATTGTAGGATTACTTACTGAGTGTGCACCATTCGGCATCGCCATTGCTAAAGCTTGTTTTCGTCGCAGAACAGCTCAGCAAACAGCGGCCGATTTCTAATAACTTATTTTTCTGCGAAAACTTCGTTGAACTTTGGAGACATCATTAATATAAATAATTTTTATCGCCGTTGAATAAGAAATGTTCTTTCACAAGAAACGTATAAAATTACAGTACTGTATTAGACTTATGGTACTTAATTTACATACTGTACAGACGATAGTTAGCGTAAAATCTCCATAGCGTGGCGGCACGCGGCGGAAAAAATATATATATAATTATAATAAATTTACAATAAATTAAGTTAATATATAATTATATATACAGTACCTAATTTATATATAATTAATATATAATTATATGTACAGTACCTAATTTATATATAATTTATATAATACTGTCCAGACGATAGAAATCTCTCCGTAGCGTGGCGCTACGGACAGCGGGAAAGTATTTCGCCTGCCCGATGACGTTTTACGTAATTATAGGAGTTTTTTTACTTTTTTTTACGGATACCGTCACAATTTTTTTTCAGTTTTATAGGAATCGTAATTATAGGGGGTCGACTATATATGTTATAGTCAACAATCATAAATGGTGATAAGTTATTTATATTTCTGTAAAATTATTTACATATAAAAGCATTTAGAAAGAACTTCCAAACACCTTCATGTAATTATCAATTTTCAGATGAAGAACTTGTAAAAAAAATTTGCTAAATGAAAATGTGTATTATATTGTAAATACAAAAGTTTCCGATACAGGGGTTTACAAATGTTACAACTTATGACTGAAATAAATAATGTTAGATGTTTGTTCCTAGAATTTCTGTCTCTCTGTTCTTCTTTCGAATGCTTCCAAAAAGTTCTCACTCATTTTCTTGCTCTTCTAGACACGTTCTCCTTTGGTTCTAGCATGCTCTTAGAAATACTAACATTCAGAAACTGTTGGGAACATCCCGCAAACATCGACAAATAGCTGATTTCAAGGCCATCCTGCTGTGTATATATTTTACTGTGAATGACCAATATGTGGCAAATGTCAACATTCTCTGGTGAATGTCAGCATTCGCACAGTCGTTGCGTGTATGTACGAAATATTTGCTAAATATCATCATTTCTCATTTACACCAGCAAATGTCGACATTCAGCATGCACTGATGGTGTTGAAT